TTGGGGTCCCTGAGCTGAGGAGAAAGGGGGCAGAGCAGTGGTTCTCAACCGAGCCTCGCTTTGTCTCTCACGGGACATTTGGCTAAGTCTGCAGGTGTACTTTGTTGTCAAAGCATCATAGGCACAGCGTGTCCGGAGTGCCGCCGAGGCGGACAAGCCTTAGGGGTAGGGAGGCGAGGAAGGGGACGAAGCCTGAGCCAGTACATGTCCAGGACGGGGAGGTTCCGAAACGGAGACGACCAACGGCCCTGGAGCTAGCCTGGAATATGTGGATGGGTACGGAGAAGAGCGAGCATATTTACGGGCCTTCAACCCTTTCCAGGAGAATTACGGACAGAAGGAGGCAGAGAAGGTGGCGCGGGTGAAGGCCCTGTACGAAGAGATGGAGCTGCCGGCCGTGTTCCAGCAGTACGAGGAAGCCAGCTTCTCCAGCCTCCGCAGCCTCATCGAGCAGTACTCCGGGCCGCTGCCGCCCTCCGTCTTCCAGGGGCTAGCTCACAGGATCTACAAGCGGCAAAAGTGACCTGGAGCCTGGGAGGGCAGGGCCTCAATAAATTATTGTTTAACCTTCCTTCCGTGGTCCTGTTGTTTGTGCTGCCAGCGCCCTGGCCGGGCCACGCCAGCTGGGACCCTTGGGACTGAAAGCAGGGCGGAGCCTTCGCGGGCAACAAAAGTCGCTGGGGCTAGGTGGCCAGTTTCAGCAAGACGTCAAGCGCTGGGGGGCGGGCCGAACCCCGCCCCGCCCCCACGCAAAGGGGCGCGGCTGCGCAGCTCCATCGGGTTGTCCTAGCGCCCCGCCCCTGCCATCCCCCTCCCTTCGGGTCAGGAGGGGCTGGGCGGGGACCGTGGGAGCCACCGCGGAGCCCGAGGCTGGCACCGCAGCAGGAGGACCCCGGTGAGGAGGGCCGGTGTGCGGATGGATGGGCCGGGGCTGTGGGGTGAAGTAGCAGAGGGGGGCGGGTCGTGAATAGAAAGGGGCTTGGGTGGCGGCTGGATGGATGGAGGATGCTCTGGTGCTCAGGGCGGGGTAGGGCTCACCGGGCTGCAGGCTGGACCCTCTAGGGTCGGAGCTGACGGCCGGTCTGCAGAGAGTGGACAAGCTGATGGCTGCTCACCCAAGCCCGTCTCCCCCACCCCCGCCCCCCACCTTTTCCCGCATTAACCGCACACAACCGCGTCGCAGTGCCTGCCATCCGCTTTTAGAGCATCTGGGGGCAGGCCCTTCCCTGGCCCCTTCCTCTGGGAGCTCGGGGCAGGTAGGCATCGCTGCAGAGAGCATCGGGGGGGTTCATCCTGGGCCCCGTCCTCTTTCAAGCCCCCGCATCCCCGCGGAGAAGCAGAGCGCAGCCGCATTCTCTGACCCTCCCCGTACCAGTCCCTGGGGGTTTACATCCGACTCCACCTCCCAACACTGCAGTGGAAACTTAATGGCCAATCGATGTCCATTTGCATCTCCTGTAAATATCATCAGAAGCGTCCGGCGCCTTCCCATGCCCGGCCAGTCACCTCAGTGTCCTTCCCGCGGCTCGCGGCCTCACCGGCCGGCCACGCCACCCTGTCTTCCAGGTCTGCGTCTGCGGTTGCCGGTTAGGTGGAAGGGAGAGGGCAGGCTGAACTGAACTGATCCTCTGGAGGCCGTCCGTTGCCGCGGCACCATGCTGTCCCCTCAGAGGGCTCTACTCTGCAACCTCAACCACATCCACCTCCAGCACGTCTCCCTGGGCCTGCACTTGTCCCGCCGTCCCGAGTTACAGGAAGGGCCCCTGAGCACACCTCCTCCCCCAGGGGACACCGGGGGCAAGGAGAGCAGAGGCCCCTGCAGCGGAACTCTGGTGGACGCCAATTCCAACAGCCCCGCGGTACCCTGCCGCTGCTGCCAGGAGCACGGGCCGGGTCTCCAGAACCGGCAGGACCTCTCGCAGGAGGAAGAGGGGGCTGCGTCGCCCTCGGACCCAGGCTGCTCGTCCTCTCTCAGCTCCTGCTCAGATCTCAGCCCCGATGAGTCCCCAGTCTCGGTCTACTCCCGGGACCTCCCTGGCGATGTGGGTGCCCACTCCCGGCCTGGCATCACTCCCCTGGACCAAGGTTCCCCACTAGCTCCGGCAGGCCCTGCCGCCTGCTCCCCCGACAGCTTCTGCAGCTCTCCGGGTTCCTGCTCAGGAGCTTCCTCCCCACCCGGCCCCGGCCTGGACTCCAACTGCAATGCTCTGACCACCAGCCAGGACCTCGCTTCCCCGGGACTGGAGGAGGAGGAGGACGAGGGTGGGGAGCAGGATCCCCCTACCTCCGAGCTTCCAGAGGGGGATGATGGCAAAATCGACGCTGGGCCAACAGAGCCCAGTTGGAAAATCAACCCCATTTGGAAAAGCGACACAGAGGAAACAGAGGCTGACGGGAAGATCAGTGCGAACAATAACGCTGGCTGGAAAATCAATGGGGGGGATGTTAACGCCGGCTGGAAAACGGAACCTGGAAAACTAGACTCCAGTTGGAAAACCAAGGCAGGATTAACTGACTCTGGCTGGAAAACCGATGCGGGGAAAATCGATGGGGGATGGAGAAGTGACGTCAGCGAGGAGCCGGTGCCCCACCGGACAATCACGTCCTTCCACGAGCTGGCCCAGAAGCGCAAGCGGGGCCCGGGGCTGCCCCTCGTGCCGCAGGCCAAGAAGGACCGCAGCGACTGGCTCATCGTCTTCTCCCCGGACACCGAGCTGCCCCCACCTGGGTCTCTGGGCGGCTCCACAGGGCCTCCGCGGGAGATCACCACCTTCAAGGAACTCCGGTCTCGAAGCCGGGCCCCGCCCCCGCCAGTCCCACCCCGGGACCCCCCAGCCGGCTGGGCCTTGGTCCCTCCTAGGCCCCCGCCTCCTCCTGTCCCTCCCCGGCGGAAGAAGAACCGACAAGGGCCGCAAGGGCTGCAACCCATAGCAGAAGGGCAGCCAGAGGAAGGCAGGGCGACCAGCCCTCCGGCGGGCGAGGAGGCCCCAGCTGCGAAGGCACCTGACGAGCCCTGCGCGCAGGCCGGCCCCGAGGGTAAGAAGCGGGCGCAGGGCTGGGCTTCGGCCTCGCTCACACCCTCTGCAGCCTTCAATCGCCCCCATTTCCCCTCCATTCTGTGTCACTCGCCCTGCCTGTGCCCTGCTACCAGGGAAGGCTCCCGGAAAGGGACTGGGAGGATGGCTGGGTGACGGGACTAACTCTTTGCTCCCTCTTTCTCCCGCCCCTTCTCGCCTGGCTGCTCGTCCCGCTGACCCCCTCCCACTCCACGCCTGCCCCGCCAACCCCGCTGCAGCCGGTCCCCTCCTGCTCCCTCGGCCCCTGGTCTTCCGGTTCTCGGCCGACGGGCGCCCCCTGTTGGAGGGTGGGGGCGCGGGCGCGGGCGCAGCCGGGTCTCTCTTCCTGGCGCCTCTGGCCGGCTGGCCGCGCGCTGGGCTGCGGCTGCTGGGGGCTCCGAGCCCCCCAGAGGAGCAGCTGCTGCCTGTCCGCCTGTCGCCGGTGGGAGCATATTCGCCTCCGGCTCGGGGGGCCCTGCCCTGCCTGGCCAGCCCTGATCTGGCATTGCTGCTGTCCCCGCTCTTCCCCAGAAGTAGCACCTTCCCCGCCGCGGCTCCCCCGCCCCGCCAGGTACCCGCCCCCCCGCTGCCACGGCCACCTCGTCCGCCGAAGGCCCCTCGCTGGATCCGGAGCCCACCGCCTCCGCCCAGGCTACGTAAGACGGACCGGGCCAGCCCGGAGGCGGGGCCGCGCCGCCCACCCACGGGCCCCACCCCTCGGCACGTCCCGGCCCCACCCCTCGGCCTGAGCTGGTTTCCAGCAGGTTCAAAGGTCCTGGGGAGTCAGGGCCTGCTCCTCGAGCCTGGGGACGGTGGCCCGGCCGCGCCCTCCAGGTCCACCCTAGACGTCCTGGACGCGGGCGCACCTGGCTTCCAAACCCCGTCCAGGGGCCCCGGCCTGACTGCCTTCTGGGTGGGACCTGGAGTGGAAGCCCTGGGCCGGGGCAGTGAGGACGGACTCGGGCGCGGGGGGGGCGGTGACGGTCCTTCCTGCAGCTCATTGGCCGGGGACGTTCTGGCCACGCCCACCCCTTGGCCACCCTCCAGCCCCCACCCCCCTCGTGCCGCCCGGGTCACTCGCTGCCGCCCAGACGCAGTAGTAGGCCGGGATTTCCCGCCCCCGCCCCAGCACCCTTTAGCCTCCCAGTCCTCCGGTCCCTTCCTCCGTGTCTCCGCCCTCTCCAGTCTGTCTGTCTTTCCATTGGTCCAGGCGCCCCACGTGGGCCCCGGACCTGCCCCCGCCCCCCTTGCTAGCCTTATCAGCTCCTGCCCTACGGGCCCCAGGGGGGCTCTGTGTCCCCAGGCCGGGTCTTCCGCTTCTAGGAGGTGGGAGCTGAACCCTAAGGAAGGGAAATGGTTTCCCCGTGAGGAAATACGGGGGGCGTAGGGGGGGCGGCGGCTGGAGAAGAGCGCATGTTGGGATTTCATTTGGGACAGGGTCGAGTGGTCCCCGAGCTTCCCCCCAGCTCCTCCTCACCAAGACCCTTCTGGGGCAGGGGTGCTGCCGACCCTCTAGAGATGACAAGTGTGGGAGCCGGGGCCCCCAGGCCCCTGCGGTAAGTGTCCCTGCGTCCTTCTTCCCTCACCTCAGTCCGTAGTTCCTGGTCCTTCGCCGGAGTCCCCGGGGCCCAGCGGCTGTGGATGGCAGAAGCCCAGAGTGGGGTTGGACAGCTGCAGGAGCAGAAGAAAGGTAGCCTCCCAGTTTGAGACTGTTGCCTCTGAACGTTCGGGCCCACGTTGCATAAGCCCATCTCCTTAATGTCTGGGGAGGTGCCCTTTGGGGAACTGGGGCCAAAGAGAGGACTTTGATACAGCTGCGGGCTGCACCCCCCACCCCACCCAGGTCTCCTGATTGCCATCAGCGCCTCTGTGGATAAAATTATCTCGCACTTTGGGGCGGCCAGGAACTTGGTTCAGAAGGTAAAGGTGGCTGTGGGGGAGCCTTGGACCGTGTGTGTAAGCGTTTGTCTCCTGGGGTGGTGGGAGCTGTTGGCAGGAGGAGCGTGGGTGGTGGATCATCTCTGAACCCATGCCCGCTGTGCTGCTTGCAGGCTCAGTTAGGGGACAGCCGCCTGAGCCCAGATGTGGGGCACCTGGTGCTGACCACCCTCTGCCCTGCCCTCCACGCCCTGGTAGCCGACGGGCTGAAGCCTTTCCGGAAGGACCTCATCACCGGTCAGCGCAGGAGCAGCCCCTGGAGCGTGGTGGAGGCATCTGTGAAACCAGGTGAGGGAGGAGGGTATGGGATGGCCAGGGCCGGCTGGGGCGGGCCAGCCTGACTGTCCCAGCTGTCCTCAGGTGCCAGCACGCGCTCCCTCGGAACCCTGTACGGCCAGGTCAGCCGCCTGGCCCCACTGAGCAGCAGCCGCAGCCGCTTCCACGCCTTCATCCTGGGCCTCCTCAAGTGAGTGCCACCTCCTTCAGGGCTTCGTGGGTGGTGCTCCTCGTCCCCAGGCGAGGTCTCCCCACTCCCAGTTCATCCCAGTTGCCACCCAGAGCGCGCAGGAGCCCCACCTTCCTGAGCCTCTGTCTCCTCTTTCTTCCCAGCACTAAGCAGTTGGAAGTATGGTTGTCCAGTCTGCAGGAAGATGCAGGTCAGAGGCTTCGGGGCTGTGCTGGGGGAGGGAAGGGACGGCTTGCTGGGTTCCTGGTCCGTCTTAATTCAGATCACTTGGCAAGTTACTCTTCTGATTAAAACTCTTACAAGGAGCCCCTGGTCCGTTAGAGGAAAGACCCAGAACCTCACTGTGGTCACCAAAGCCTCGGTCATCGGTCCACGGCCCTATCCCCTAAGCCCCAGGCTTTCCCAGGCCCTGCTGTCCCAGAGTCTGACAGATGTTTCTCCTTCCTCCTTCCAAACAGGCCTCCCTGCCCCTTCCCTGCCTCCCTGTGTCACTGTGAATGCCCCTCTGACTACATTCCTTTGGCAGCCCCCAGCCCATTTCATGGTGCCCCCAGGGCCCCTGTGGCCAGGCTTTGCCCTGCCCTTTTTTGTGACTCGCTGTGTCACCACTTGCTCTGTCTCCCCCATGCTAGGCTGTGGTACCAGGGGATCAGGGTATCCCCCACTGTGCGGGGTGCCCGGTGGCAGCCCAGAGCTTGGCAGAGCGAGGCCTGGGAGGATGTTGGCACCCTGGCGGGGCACTCAAGCCAGGGACTGATGCTGGCTCGCTCTCTCTCCCAGGTCTGCTGTCCCTCCTGTACCTGCCCACGGGATTCTTGGCCCTGGCTCGGAGCAGCTGCCCCGCCCTGTCCACGGAGCTGCTGCTCCTGCTGCAGCCTTTGTCGGTGCTCACCTTTCACCTGGACTTGCTCTTTGAGCACCACCACCACCTGCCCCTGGGCCCACCGCAGGCCCCGCCCCCCCCAGGCCCGCCGCCAGCCCTGCAGCAGACCGTGCAGGCCCTGCTGCACTGGGGGGGCCGGCTGGCCCAGAGCCTTCGGGGGGCCTCTGGGGAGGCCCTGCCAGACCCTGAAGCTCCCCTGGCCTCCGAAACCCCTACAAGCCCTCCCACACCAGGCAGCTGGTGGGAGCAGCTGACCCAGGCCTCCCGAGTCTACGCCTCTGGGGCCACTGAGGGTGTCCCTCTCCCCCGGTGGGGACTCAGGCATCACGGGACTGCCTCGGAGGGCACAGCGGAGAGACCCCTGCCCACAGAGGCGGTGGGCCCATGCAGGGCCGCGTGGCTGGGCAGACTGTTCGGAGCTCCTACAGGCCCCGTGGAGACTGAGAGTGGGACCCTAAAGTCCAGGTAATGTAGGTGACAGGCCTTCGTCAGTGCCCCAGGGGCCCTCATTTGGAACTCCTTAGGGATCCTTGGGCTGTTTTTCTACTAAAAAGGCTTTCTATGTTTTTCAGCGGTTGTGTTTTAATGATTAACTAGTTATGTAGTGTCTTTGGCCTATTGCCTCTTGGCCCCCAAAGCCTAAAATACAAAAGCACCTTTTCTCTGGTGTAAGAAGTGCTTGCCTGGTCTCAGGAGCGTGCCTTCTGGTGGGTCCTGGGTGGGCTCAGTGCCGCTCCAGGGACTCTTGGCATCTCTGAGCATGTACAGACCCTGCTAGTCAACACGGGCCTTGTGTGATGTCTGGCTTGTAGACTGTTACTGTCATTTCCTCCCACAACTGCTGGTCTCTCACTGCCATCGTGGCAATGCGACTCCTAGGGAAGTGCTGTGGGTTTCCGAGACCATAACTGTTTACCGGAGTAAAAAGTCCCATCTTTCTCCCGTGGAGCTGCTGGTGGTTTTGAACTGCCGACCACTCGAATCGCAGCCCAATGTGTAACCACTACCCCAGCAGGGCACCTTCAGCTGCTACTCAGTGGTGACCAACTCCTGGCCGCTTTGGAACGCTGGCCAAGCCCTTCAGGCTGTCCGCCTGACACTGGAGGCTGTCTGAAGGTGAGGTAACCCCCGCAAGTTGATCTGCGTTTCCCTCCAGGAGACCATCCAGTTGGCTGCCCCCCACAGTGAGCGTGCTGGCCCTGGTGAGGCGGGGGCCACCTCCTGAGCCTCCCTCTCCTCCTGAGGGGCTTGAGACCTCAGCCCCCAGCGTAGTGCAGCCCCACAGGTGAGGAGGGGCAGAACCAACAGACCCTGGGTATGGCCACGTCTGAGCTTCTTCCCAGAGGGGAGGGGAGGTAGGGGAAGGGCCGTGGGCCCCTGGGTCCATGAGAATGCGCAGTTTGTGCCGCATGTACTCTGTGTACACATGCCACTTGAGTTCTCTCAAGAGCCTTGGTTTCTGCTTGGGGGGGGGGGGGCGCTCACACTTTTTGTTAGTGGATGTGAGCACCCCAAGAATTTCCGGAAACCATTAGCACACAGCAGGTGCCCGGTTAGCAGCCACCTGTGTGCGTGGCCCTTGAGGATCTCGGCGTCTTTTTAGTGGGCTCTTCTCATCTGGCACCGGTGCTGCTGCCTCTTTGGGGTCCTGTTTTCCTGGGCGTTTCTCGCCCATGAAGTAAGCTTCTGGATTTGTCCCTCATTCAGCAATATATATATAATAAACCATTTTATTGAGGGCTCTTAGAGCTCTTGTAACCGACCATCCGTATTTCACTTGTATTAAGCACGTTTGTACCTGTGTTGCCATCATCCTTTTCTAAACATGTTCTTTCTGCTTGAGCCCTTGGTGTCAGCTCCCCCTTTTCCCTCCCTCCTTGGTCCTCCCACCCTTGTGGACACCTGATAAATTATTTTCATATCGTACACTGTCCGCTCTCTCCCTTTGCCACGTTTCTGCTGTTTGTCCCCATGGGGGTGGTGTGGGGGTGGTTATACATCGATTCATTGTAGTCGGTTCCCTGTTTTACCCCCACCTTCCCGCTACCGTCATGGTATCGCTACTCCCATTACTGTTCCCGGGGGGTTTATCTGTCCTGGATTTTGTGTGTCAAGAGCTCTCATCTGTACCCGTGCACATGCTCCGGTCTAGCTGGATTTGGCAGGCAGGACTGGGGTCATGATAGTGGGGGAGCCGGGGGGAGGGAGGAAGCGTTAAAGAACTAGAGGAATAGTGTGTGCCTCGTCGGTGCTATGAGCACCCTGGCCACTCAGCAGTATTTTTTAAAATTACTTTATTGGGGGCTTGTACAATTCTTATGTCCGTCTGTCCGTCCGTCCATCCATCGTGTCCATCTATCCATCGTGTCAAGCACATTTGTTGCCCTCATTGTTCTCAAAACATTTGCCTTCTACTTTAGTCCTTAGTATCAGTTGCTCATTTCCCCCCTCCCCTCAGCAGTATTTTTTGTGCCAAGCATTCTGTTAGGGGCAAGAGTGCAGAGGTTCACCGGAATCCCTGCCCTTGGAGACATAGTCCAGGCAGGTGCTGAGGAATACACAAATCCCCCAGCCTGTGCAGGAGTCTTGAGGAAAAGGCGGCCCCCGCCCTTTGGGGCCATCTACATAGGCCTTCTCCCTGCCCCAGGCTTGCGGGTACAGGGCAAGCTCAGTGACAGTGTGGGGGAGGCATCTGGCAGGGGGAACAGGAAGCAAGCTAGGGAAGGCCTGGGTGTAGCTACAGGAAACTGGAATGGAGGGAGCTGGCCACAGGGTCCCGGGGAGCTTGGAGGGTTCTGTGAGCCAGTGAAGGAACCTGGAGTGAAAGAGCTGGGCCTCTTGGGACAGTGGGAGCCATCGAAGGGTCGCCTGTGGGTGCTGTGCCTGCCCGGACTTTTCCAAGACTTGACTGCTGTTTGGAGAACGGACGGGGCGTGGGGGAGCATTCAGGGAGAGCAGACTGTGTGCGGTAGTTCAGACAGAGAGGGTAGGGGGCAGAGCCTTAAATATGGACGGGGGCTGAGGCATCTCAGAGGAGAGTCGGTCCATGTGTAGGGAGATGAGATGGAGGAGGGTTGGCGACGAGATGCTTGGGGTTTGCCAGGCAGACGCCACCCGGCAGAAGATGGTGCGGTTCCCTTTCTCAGAGAGGGCTGGGGCCCCACGTGAACTTGTGTGTCCTTTGTTCCGGGCCAGGACTGCTAGGGGCGCTCCACACAGTAGAGAGGTGAGGCCTGGGGGCAGCCGACCCCCCACCTCACCCCAGCATCTCCCTCTGGCTCCCCACAGGGCAGTCCGGACACTCTGTGACCACACTGCTGCAAGACCGGACCACCTGAGCTTCCAGCGTGGGGAGGTGCTGCGTGTCCTCGCCACGGTGGACGAAGACTGGCTTCGCTGTGGGCGGGAAGGGGTGGAGGGGCTGGTGCCCGTGGGCTATACCTCTCTCGTTCTGTAGCCTTGGGACCCTACCCTGCACACGTGTCCCCTCCCTGTCACCTGGGCCTGGAATGGCCCACGAGCACTAATCCATGTAAAACCAATCATCCCAGAAGCAAACCGCTTCTTGCCTCCCTCATCTGATATTTCAAGTCCGCTTTCCTGTCGGGTGACATGTGCCCTTCTCCCCGAGATGTACAGAGGAATGAATCCCCTCCATGTAACCTCTTCCCTATCTCCACGAGGGACTGTGCAGAATGGACCGCTCGCCCTCTTCCTGGTCCTCGTTCAGTGGACTGTGCCAGTACAGTATATGCCCTGGCTCCTGACTCCTTTCCTGTATGTATGGAGTCTGCCCCACCCCACCCTGCGCGTATTTATTGGCCACTCGGGGTGTTTGGTGCCGAAGCCTGCATATCCCCGGGGCTGGGCCTGTGGTGTTGGTCTGTCTCCTTCCTCATTTGTCCCAATAAAGTGTGGGAGTTGGGTGTGCGTGCGTGCGTGCGTGTGTTTCACTGTGGGTCTCAGGACACAGGTTGGGAGAGGTCTCAAGAAGATGCTTCGTTCCCAGTTTGTACTCCACCGAGGAAGCAGGCAGTGGCCCGACTGCAGCCGGGATCTCAGAAGTGCTTCTAATCTGGGACTTGATTGCTTGTTAGGCTGATATGGTAGATTTGGGGAAGAGGGGGAGGGCTGAAAGAGACCCGGGGCGGGCGGTGGTTGAACTCTTAAGCTGCTAAGTGAAAGGTGGGCAGTTCAAACCCACCAGCAGCTGGGAGAAAGATGGGCGTCAGGCTTCCTAAGAAAGTAGTCCTGGGAACGCCCTGGGCCTGTTCTTTGAGTCAGAACCCAACTGTAGAGGGATTGGCCTTTCCCTTGAGGTCATGCATGTGGTGGAGGGAGGGATTAGAGGGTTGGAAGAAATGACTCTCTTTTCTACTAAATATTGTCACTGTAGCAATAATTTCAAGAAAATGCAAAATAGTGACTACCAGGAGCAAATGAGTTTCCTTTGTCTTGAAATCCTGAGACAGTGAAACCCTAGTCTAGAGGTTCGAGAACCACTAAGGGGCTGGGAATCACTAAGGACTGTCTAGAAAAGAGGAGACAGAAAGTGATCATTCTAACCAGGCAACAGTAAAGATGGGGCGGGTGGTGGTGGTGGTGCTGAGACTGGGGACGGTGACACGGCAGACACCGGGAAGTCTTCCAGCTTTGGCGGCCTGGTTGGGTGCAGAGGCCAGAAGAGGGGCTGACAGGAGTCAGGGGCAGGCTTACTGAGACTCAAAGCGCCCCAGACCGTGTCGTTCATCTGCTTTACTTTTGCCCCCCTTGGGTGTAGACCTCAGTGTGCATTTCTAATGTTTCTCAAACGGGATTCCCAGTTTTATCTGTGTGGTGTGTAAAGGTATCAAGTGGAGGCCTGCTAGCACCGTCAGAGTGACGTGTGCGGCATCATCTTGGGAGGTGCAGTTCTGGAGTTTGGGGCCTACTACTTGACCTGCTCTCTGCCCCTCCTCTGGCTCTTATCCCCCGTGCTCGGCTGTAGGAGGACTCCTGGGAAGACCCCTGGGAGGACTGAGTATCAGGGGGAGAAGGCTGGGTGGGGTGTTTGCATTCACAGCCCAAGGACTCTCAGGCTTTTGCCCAGGGTGCTACACAGCGGCGAGACTGCCTTACAGAACACCTTGAAACGGAGCAAACCAACAATGATAGACACTTCGTTTGTACGTACTACCTAGAACAGTTGTTGGAGGCACTGAAGAGTAAGTAAAACTGAAAGCTAAAAGACAAGGAAATTGGACTACGTACTTCTTCCACAGTGGTGAAGAGACCTCTACCAGTGGGCCACCTTGACCTGACTGACCTTATGTCCTCGTTAGGAGGTGAGCCTGCACCCTGACAGCCTGACAGTCCAAACACTGGACTCCAGCTGAGCTCCTAAATGCCATGTCTGGCCCAAGTCCGGGATAGCTATCTTGTTGGGCCTTCCTTTCAGCTGTTCACAGGAGTGTGTTCACCTTCCGGGATCAGTCGGGCACTTTGGCTATTTCCCACGTTACTGTTTTCTATAGAGACTTCGAGTTGTGGCCCCGACACAAGTTATTAGGTGATTTCTGGGCGAGGTACTTCACCTCCACAAAGGGGATGTCCACCTCAGAGGGTATTTTAAGGGTTAACCAGCTACTGAGTCCTGGGCCAGTTTCCTTACTTCTAACACTGGGATCAGGTAGCTGTCTTGGAGGGTCACACAGTTAGGATTGACCAAGTAAATGAATACATGCAAATTGCTTAGAAGGGAAGTGGTTTAACCCATAATGGCTGAGAACACTCAATGAGGTGACGCTGGTTTGTGCCCGGGAGGAAGTGCAGGTGGCACGCGGAATGTGTGCCCTGGGGAGTCCAGGAAGGCAGTGCTGTGGTTTTAGGAAGCTCCCTTTAGAAAGTGGCCAGAGGAGACCCTGGAAGGTAAATGGAGGGTAGGAAAGAGGAAATAATAGCAAGCTCACCACTCCACAGTTAGGAAAACTTTTTTCCATTTAATACTAGACTTTCAAGGATTGAGATGCAAGCTTTTTATGCAATTACATCCAATGTTAAAATTGGTAATACATAATTTACAAAGATTAACATCAAAACAATCATCTATTTAGATATGCTTTTGTAAAAAGGAAATATATTAGCAGCATTTATATTTTCCGCAATCACACAGCCTACAGACATGCAGACTAACTCTGTATCTATTTGCAGTGATGTAGTGCTTTGCCCCGCATTTCAATCACCAAAACCCACCTGGCAGCTGGGGGGTCTTTATATTTTGTTATTATAAAATAACCGAAAAATAAAAAAGGCATTAATTTCTACACCAGTAAGAAAAACCAAGTTTTGCACTTACCTAACATTTGATTGTCTAAAAAACCTGTAAGTTTTTAGTCTTTCAACAAAAGAAAGATAAAATGACAGAGCGTAGTGTCTTTTGCTTCTGTTCTCGCATTTTACAAAGTTTTTTTTCTTTTTTCTTTTAAAAAATTTTAGTGTTTAACACTATTAAAGGAAACATTGAGTTTTTAATCTTCTCTTTCTTGTCATTTTCCTGCTTTTGACTAAAGGAGACCCCCAAAGTGCCCCTTATCCCCACCTCCCTCCCACCCTCTCCCAACAATGAAAACCAAAAGCAACCCCTCCCACGAGCTTGGACATGCGGCGTTCCCAACCCCACGCGCGAGTGTCTCACACCGGGCCTCTCAGTCATGTACAGTGCTTCTCTACAGTAAGAAAATACTCCAAACTATTTTCTTAATTCTCTTTCTTCTTTAATAAAATAGTTATTCTGCTTTTTCTCTGCTCAAGGGGATCTTTGGCACCCCCCGTCTCTTTTGTTGTTTGTTTGTTTTTCCCTCTAGATTGACATAGAAAGGAGGTAAACGAAAAAAGAAAGATTCAATGGAATGGAAGGTGGTCAATGTTTCTACCTAAACGAGTCAGAGCGTCGTCATCAGAAGGGGACATGTACAGTTAGGACGGCATTGGTCCCGCATTAGAAAAAATCATGGGGACAGGTTGACTACTGTATTGCTTACCAATCACGCAGCGGATATATATATGTGTGTGTGTATATATATATATATATACAACTTGGCACATTTAAAAACCATCTTTTCTCTTATAAGAACATCTAAAACATATATGCATATGTATGTCTGAGAAGACAACAAAGCAAAGCTTTTTAAATTTTATTTTTAAAGAGACAGTATAGTCTGGGAACCTCTGGCCGAGAAAATGGGTAGGAGGGAGTCACCCTGGCTATCCCTCCTGACAACAAAGTCCCTCAGGAGGGTGGAGGCAAGATGGGAGCGGGGCAGGGGAAGACCCTGTCTCTTTAAGAGGTGGACATTGAAAACTGTACAGTGAAGAACACCAGAGTAGTGTTTTCAGTTGATAATCTGCACTCACAACAAATACTCGGATAGGTGAATACTGCTCAACAGTTATGTAGTGACTTGTCGGGGAGGGGGTTTAGAGCTCTTCCTATGCAGGTTTTTAAATGTTTTTCTTGTGAAACGAGTCTCCATTCGCACAGCACAGCAGACACACGAGAACCACAGAGCATCAAAAACAGCACACGTGCTGGCGGGGCCTGGCTTTCCCATTAGAGAAAAGTCTACTGGCAGGTCACGCAGGGTACAAGTCATTAAAAGTCGTTCTGTGCCCTTCTGGCCCCACGGGGGCCCTCTCTATCTATCCCATGATCCCATTCTGGGGAGTAGAGGTAGGGAAAGGGGCAGCAATTACAAGTGCTTTGAGCTGTCAACTCACAACAACTGACTTTGACCTGGTTGGGCAAGAAAGGACAGAAAAACTTTCCTAGCTGGGAAGAGGCCCCAGCTCCTGTCTCTGTTCTAGGTCTCTGGGTAGCTCTTGGAGCCTACAGAGAAGAGATGGGTGGGGTGGGGATCCTGGTCCCATCCCTTTAGCTCTGAGTAATATCTAGGGATGGGAAGCAGCGTCTCAGCAGTGCCTGCAGGATCAGAGAATGACACAGGAAAACCCAAGCTGGGAGGAGGGGCAAGTGTTGCAGAGTACCAATGGGCCCTTGCCACCCGAGTGTGACCCTCACTCCTCCCCACATTGTTAACCCTCAGGGTGAAGCCATGGAGAGGACAGTCAACTCAACGGAACCGTCTTGGACAGCTCCCCTTCCTCTCCCCTCCCCCAGCTCCAAGGTCTATCAAGTACCTAATGTTAACAGCACAGCCCCATTCCCCTTGCCGGGACTGACCCTCCACCCTTGTCTGCATCCAGAGAGCAGGAGGCAGGACTGACGAGCTCCACTGGGGGGGGTCCCAGATGCTTGAGGTTCTCATTCTTCAGGTTCACTTCCGAAAGCTGCTTTCTGGGATGAACAAAGTACGCCTCCGCAATTTCCGGCCAGAGCCTTCCTCCAGCAAGTAGGTCACGTCAATGGCTGCAACAGAACCAAGGAAACTTATCGAATACCACACTCCCCACTTCTGCTTAGAATGGGTTCATCAACAACTTCTTCCGTGACTGGTTATCTTTCAAATAATCAATTTTGAATTCAGCAGTTTAAACTACTTATCAACCCTCCCATTAGTTGCCATGTCTACCCACTCTCTTGCCACTCCCCCACATCTGATTCCAGACATGATCACTAAGATCACAAGAATGCCAGGATTCCTTTTTAAGCAACTATGGCCTGCCTCCCGTGTTGGACAGAGTGTTCTCCAGGGAGGGACCTCTCCTCATCCTGTCTCACATCACACTAAAGGCAGGCCTATGAAAGAACAGTGTTCTTTTGTGCCAGTAACTACAGCTGTCCTTACTCACTCCATTTGCACGTATTTCCCATTTACATTACAGCTGAGTTAGAAGCTGATGCCTCCGTACCATTTTTCCCAGGGATTTTTTCAAGCAGATTGAGCAAGATCTGGTTGAGCCGTTCGCGCTGGCTGTGCCGCCGCTCCTCAGGG